AATACAGAGTTAAAACTTTTGTTCAACTCTTTTACCCTCCGTAGACTCACTAATCTCGTTTGAGGGGGTAAACATCTGTCAAAATTTCACCCAGATACAGAGTTAAAAAATTAACCAAGGGAATCTACCTGCAACGACGAAACTACAGGGCTAGTAAGTTCGAAACGCCAATACTCAAGGGTTCTATGTGCAATTAACCCTTTAGGATACCATGTTACGAGAACCAGCCTCTCACTTGATAAAAATGATGTACTGTATTCAACTTTTCAAGTGAAATTCCAACCGAACATCAAAATTTTGTTACAAAAGAATTGGAAACCTGAAAGAATGAAGCATTTATATCCAACAGGCAGAGAAAACCTCTATCTACACCTCCCAAAGCTACCAACTTCTAGCCTTAAAATGATTTCAGCATCTCCCCGTGGGATTCATCAAATACCCAACAATAAAGAGCTAAACAATCTCGAATCAGCGACCACAGAAAAAACAGCCTTTGTAGCTCGACAACAAGCCCAAAAACTCACCAAATCACCAACAATAAAGAGCTAAACAAGCTCGAATCAGCGACCACAGAAAAAACAGCATTTGTAGCTCGACAACAAGCCCAAATACTCACCAAATCACCAACAATAAAGAGCTAAACAAGCTCGAATCAGCGACCACAGAAAAAACAGCATTTGTAGCTCGACAACAAGCCCAAATACTCACCAAATCACCAACAATAAAGAGCTAAACAAGCTCGAATCAGCGACCACAGAAAAAACAGCATTTGTAGCTCGACAACAAGCCCAAATACTCACCAAATCACCAACAATAAAGAGCTAAACAAGCTCGAATCAGCGACCACAGAAAAAACAGCATTTGTAGCTCGACAACAAGCCCAAATACTCACCAAATCACCAACAATAAAGAGCTAAACAAGCTCGAATCAGCGACCACAGAAAAAACAGCATTTGTAGCTCGACAACAAGCCCAAATACTCACCAAATCACCAACAATAAAGAGCTAAACAAGCTCGAATCAGCGACCACAGAAAAAACAGCATTTGTAGCTCGACAACAAGCCCAAATACTCACCAAATCACCAACAATAAAGAGCTAAACAAGCTCGAATCAGCGACGAAATATAAGTAATGAATCGCAACATCTAAAGTTTGCAATTAACAAAATGTTAGTTATGAATTGCAACATGTAAAGTTTGCAATTATCAAAATATAAGTTATGAATTGCAACATCTAAAGTTTGCAATGTACAAAATATAGGAGTTGTGCGGGAATAGTAACAAAATATGTGAAGTAGCAAAATGGATTGTTGTGTGCACAGAACAATAAAACACTATCATGTGTCCCAACCTTGAGCCGTCGCAAGACTTGCAAGAAACCTCTTCTGTGCTTCCTTGGTTTTTATAAAAAACCTCCTAGCCTCGTGCTCACTTTCATACAAATGATCTAAAACCTTATCAAGGAATTCATCACTGTAGGAGACTATGGTTCTCTTCAAAGCTGCAGCTAATTGTTCAGTCCAATGTATAATGTGTTGATTTCTAATTGACTCCGACATAGTCTCAACAAAGCTACGTATTAACTCATCGTCATTGGATTTGCGAGGTCGCTTGCTTGAAGATGGCTTTGTGGTAGACTCATGTTGGGATTTCCTAGAAGTGGAGTGTGGGGTAGTGTTAGCATCGGATTGAGGCTCGGTTTCACTCTCAAGAGGAATGTCCGCATCATCATCATCAAGAGGAATGGCGTTGTTAGTACCAATTTTATCATAAACTGGCCTAACAAAATCACCCCTAGCTTGATCATCACCCATGATCTTTTGTAAATGTTTGTAGAATGGAAGAGGCTTGTTTATATATCCTCTTAGCTTTGAGTTCTTTTTGTCCTGCCATATGTGAAAAATATTGTGAGAAATTAATTATAGCCTTCTCACGTCCAAATAAATTAAATATGTAGTAATGACTTAAATCAATACCTAAGCCCATTGATTAAGTGTCTCCTCATCTAGGATTACCATACAATTTGCCTCATCCCACCCCGCACCACTTATGTTGATGCAAGTATTCATATCATTAAATTTGTTTCTCCAAGTCTTCATGCGATTAATCACATGAACGTGGGTGTAGTTAGTTTTGAATTTCATGTTCATTTTCATAGCTGCTATTTTGTAAGCCTCAGCTTTGAAGTTTTTATCAACTTTCATTCCGGAATCCGCGAGCTCCGCAAGACACGGTATAAGCTCCGCATCATGCTCAGGAAGCCACCACATGTTGGAAACCCCCTTCGAGTTGATGCTAGGAGCCCCACGTGTTGCAGCCCGTGCTCTTTTGTGAGCAGTTTTTTTGATTCTTTTGGAGGGTGAAACCTCCTGGCTCAAACAAATGACATTACTTTCATGTCCACCAGATTCACCGATGGAGGGTGACATTTGTTGTGGACCGCCGCTTTGAGAACTCAAAGAGGGAATGTGCAAGCCTTGGGAACTGTTCAACATGTTAGTGAATGAAACATGTTGGCTAGAGCCACTGTAGTTCCCATCGAATAGAGGAAACTGTGGGAAAGGAGGCATTGCATGAGGCGGATTGAACGGTTGATTTAGATATGGAACCTCTTTTATACACCCAACATTTTGAACTATAATCATTATTGACATGATACAAACGTCCTACATTGACAGATTGAAAATTAGCAAATTTTTTTGTTTGAGATGTGAACATGGTAAAGAGGGGAAACCCTCAAAAGATATCTTCAATCTTACAATCATAAAGCAAGTATACATGCATGCCACTGCAGTTCTTTTCATTACATTTCCTGTTTATTCATTTATCCCTACTATCGCTTCTTATTTACATACCCATAAAACCCCAATCTCTGTGATATTACAAGACCCTGTCAAATTCACAACTAAAGTGCTATTGCTTAAGTGCTATATCAAGGCCCGATCTTGTCATCATTCACAACTAAAGATTACAGAAATGTAATAGAGGGTAATTTCTATCAAAGAAAATCCTACTGAATGTAAAACATCAAAGTTTAGATTTAATTTTTGTCATGCAAAGCAGTTAACTAGTTGTTGCCAGCGCAGATGACAAAATACATAACAGATGACAAACCAACGAGTATTGAGTATGGAGATCAGTTTTTGGTTTTATGACCAACGAGTATATGTTCTTGGTTTTATGACCCAAAATCAAATTCATCAACATCCCCAAAATCAAATTGTAGGAAAATCCCAACAAGTATTGAGTATGGAGATCAGTAATTACGAAAATAAATGTACAGGAACCTTAACAGATAATTTTCGTCAACAGACCAACGCCAAATAGATCAAAAAAAAAAAAAAAATTGGAGTACAAAGAAGAGATTTTTACCGTGGGAGCCTTGAGATCAGAAATCGAAAACCCTAGCGCAAGATCTGGGAACCGAAAACCCTAGATCTGAGGCGATCGGAGAGGGGAAATCGAGAGGTAACTGGAAATGGCGCGAAGGACCAGCAGCTCGCTAGATTTGGGGCGGGAACCAGGGCGAAATTTTCCGCCGACGAACAAGCTCGAGAAATGTCCAGCGAGTGGGGAAATGGGTACGGGAAACGAAGAAATGAGTTTAATAAAGGAAGTGTCAGATTTCATGGCAATTTCCTCTCATTTTAAGAGGAAATACATTTCTATAAAATGAGGGTGTTTTTGACAGTTTTAAGAAAACTTTTCTGTAAAGTTTTGAGAGGAAATACATTTCTATAAAATGAGGGTGTTTTTGACAGTTTTAAGAAAACTTTTCTGTAAAGTTTTTGGGAGCCAAACACGTTTTATAGAATGACAGTTTTAAGAAAACTTTTCTGTAAAGTTTTTGGGAGCCAAACACGTTTTATAGAAATACACAGAAAGTTTTTATTTACAAAATTGCCACTCTGACAGTTTTTGAGAAATGTTTTCTATAAAAACACCCAACCAAAAACAAACAATTTTTTTAAAAATAATAATAATAATAATAACTTGAGTTGAGTTAGATTACACTTTTCGCTCTGGTATAATTAACTCATTGATGATGGTGGCGTGGAAAGTAAGCAAAAGGTAGGGGGGCGTTTGAACAGGCTTCTTCTCATAATTAATTCCGGCTCCTCACGCGCCGCAATGGCCGTTATTTTTTGTCTTTCGTCACTATGAGCAGCACCGAGTCTCATCAGAAGTAACGTGGACCAACTTTTGTGACCGCGACTTTGGGACCCACCTTTTTAAGATTGGGGAAAAAAGGAAATATCAGCTTGTGAAGTCCCTGTCGATGCGATGGACGGGGGACAAATGAATAATGGGCTGTTTGGTTGGTTTTTTTCCCCTCATTACCTGTTAAAACTAACAGCTTCATAGCTTTCTTGTCAAAACGTTATTATTAGGAACGTTTTGACAACAAGCTGTTAGTTTTGACAGGGAATCAGAGACAAAAGAAGCAAAACAAACAGCCCCTAAAGATACCAAAGGTCAAAGTATGTGATAGATGCGTTATTTATATACACTTTTTTTTTATTGATATTATGTTATTTTTATTTAACTTAAAATTGAGAATAAAAGGTATCATCATATGCCGTTTGTGTTATATACACTCCCCGTTTACCATTTGGAAAAAAATAATTTCAAATAAAAAAGAATATCCATGTATTTTACTAGGGCTTTGGCTTGAGCGCAATCTGATGTTTATCAGCTGCCTTCTGTGTGAACGCCCAGATACTAATTTAAATTAAAAGCAAGCTTGGAGTGTGTTTATCAAGCGCTTCATTTTCCGGAAGTATGTATTAAGCTGGCACCAACAGATATATCAGATTCTGTCTAACAGATAAAACATAAACCTGTTTTGGATGCAAGCATATCTTCAACTTCAAAAACCTGTCAACCAAATGCCAGTAAATGTTTTGTTGTTTCTGTTGTAGCCAGCCATGGAGTTTGTTATTGGTGATTGGTTAGTTTGTGATTCAATCTGATCCACAATTTGTGGGCACAGGCTTTCTTTAGATATCCCTATGTATATATATATAACCAAGTATTCTAATGAAAATGTGTGTTAGACAGAGTGGACGTAGGCTTTCTTTGGCCGAACCACAATACATCTTTTTGTCCTCTTTTCTATTTCTGTTTCTTTTTTTTTCTTAACATGGTATCAGAGAATGGTTCTGAAGCTCGATGATTGATTAAGGGTCGATGGTCAGGCCGGAGATCCCACCATTCATTGAGTTTGCAAGATCCAACTCTTTCTTTTCTGATCTCGTCTATTCGTCATGGGTGACTCTACTCAAGCCAACAAAGAGCTCGGCAACACTGATTCACCCTACTTTCTTCATTCTTCTGACAATCCAGGAGTCTCCATTGTCACTCAAAATCTGACTGGGGAAAATTATGCAACATGGTCTCGTGCCATACGAATGGCACTTCTTGCCAAGAATAAATATGGGTTCATTGATGGAACCATCGAGAAGCCTAGTCCTTCAGATCCCAAAGCATCTCAATGGGAGAGATGCAACAAAATGGTGTATTCCTGGATTCTCAACTCAGTTCACAATGACATTGCTAATAGTGTGATGTATGCAGAGACGGCACAGGAGGTATGGCTCGAGCTAAGTGATCGTTTTTCTCAACAAAATGCTCCCCGCATATTCCAACTTTCTCGTGCCATTGCTACTCATGAACAAGGTACATCCTCCATTGCCTCTTATTTTACTGGGCTCAAAGCACTATGGGACGAACTATATTCCTATAATGTCGTACCGCCATGTACCTGTGGATCTTCTAAAGAACTCATGAACATTCATCAAAGAGAGAAAGTCATGCAGTTCCTCATGGGTTTAAATGAAAGCTACAATGCAATACGCAGTCAGATTCTCTTGATGGAACCCTTACCTACTGTCAATCGTGCATACTCACTGCTACTTCAGGAAGAAAGACACCGTGACCTCCGTATGGCTCCTCCATGAAGCCGCAGCCCTCGCCGTCAACCACTCTGGCCCTAAAGGGAAAGCCCCCCTGCATTGTGACCATTGCAAGCGGAATAACCATACAATCGATCGATGCTTTCTCCTTCATGGTTTTCCACCGAAGAACAATAGTCGACGCCATCAGGGAAAGCCCAAAGGTAATCAGTATAATACTCAACACAATGGACGCACTCTTCCCATTGCTGGATCTGTCAACAGTGCAGAAGAATGCAAACAACATTCAGTCATTTCACCTGAACAGTATCAACAATTGATGACATTACTCTCAACGGTGATGCCCACCAACTCACCTGCCTCAACCGCCACTGTCTCTGGTAATATTGCTTGTCTTACCACTTCTCCTTCTATTCATTGGGTTATTGATACTGGAGCTACCCATCATATAGCGTGCTCTAAATCTTTGTTTACCTCTCTTAAACCTCAGTCCAACATATCTCCAGTGACCCTTCCCAATGGTCAGACTGCTAACATCTCCTTTACAGGAACTGTGGCACTACCCAATGGACTTCGTCTAGATGATGTTCTTTATATTCCTTCTTTTAACCTTAATCTTCTATCTATTCCTCAATTAACCAGGACAACACCCTGTTTTGCCACATTCCACACTGATCATTGTCTTATTCAGGACCTTCAATCGAGGAAGACGATTGGTCGGGGTAAACTCCATGGAGGCCTCTACATCCTTGATTCGACCCAAGTCAACGCTGTCTCCACCATTGGTCGGGGTAAACTCCATGGAGGCCTCTACATCCTTGATTCGACCCAAGTCAACGCTGTCTCCACCAACCTTGTCCCTACTTTTGATCGCTGGCATTGGCGTTTGGGCCACCCCTCGTCCGAGCGATTAAAGTTCCTTTCCAAGTTAATTCCTAGTATTTCCATTTCTACAGATTGTATCTGCAATATATGTCCATTGGCAAAACAAACCAGACTTCCTTTTCCAAATAGTTCTATTTCCAGCAAGCATGTTTTCAGTCTAATTCATTGTGACATTTGGGGTGGCTATCGTGTAGCCTCTTTATCGGGGGCCCATTATTTTTTAACCATTGTAGATGATTTTTCTCGTGCCACTTGGGTATTTTTAATGCGTCAAAAATTGGAAACTCCATCCGTTCTATGCAATTTCATATCATATGTTAAGACGCAATTTAATATCCTTGTCCAAACTCTTCGCACGGACAACGGCCAAGAATTCCTTGCCAATGACCTTCAAAATTTTCTCCATACTCGTGGCATCATTCATCAACGTAGCTATATTCACACCAGCCAACAAAATGGCATAGTGGAACGAAAACATCGTCATTTACTAGATGTTGCTCGGGCCCTTCGTTTTCAAGCCCATCTACCTTTCAGTTTTTGGGGTGACTGCATTCTTACTGCAACCTATCTCATCAATAAAATACCCACAAAACTATTATCTGAGAAAAGTCCCCAAGAGGTTCTCCCCGGATCTGTACCATCCTATCACAACCTCCGGGTCTTTGGATGTCTTTGTTATGCCCGGAACTCTTACATATCTCATAAATTCGATGCCCGCGCTCTTCCCGGGATTTTTGTTGGCTACCCTCTTGGTTAGAAAGGATATCGAGTTTATGACCTTGCCTCCAAGAAAATATACGTCAGTCGCGATGTTGTCTTTCATGAGACCATTTTTCCTTTCAGAGACACTGAAACAACTACATCTACATCTTTACCACTGCCTATCACTTATGACAATGGTTATACCGAGCTCATTAAACTTCAGTCCCCAACCAACATTAGCGTCGACACCAGGTTGCCATCCATCAACCTGACATTGACAATACTCATTGTGATCAAACAACTCCTGACCAAGCCGTCGTTCACCAACCTAACCCTGCCCTGCAAGTCAGTAATGAAATTGTTCCTATGCCTCGACGCTCTGGTCGTATCTCGAGACCACCTCCTTACTTGCAGGATTTTGCCAATTCTATTGTGGGTACACCAGCAGCTAAAGAATCCACATCTCACCCCATTTCTTCCTACCTCAAGTACTCGCACCTTTCCTCTACACACCGGTCCTATGTTGCTGCTATCACTTCTTCCATCACCCCTGTTACCTTTGCTCAGGCCAATCAATCGCAACAATGGCGCAAAGCTATGGCACATGAACTCCAAGCTCTTGAAGCTAATAAAACTTGGCATCTCACACCTCTACCTCCAGGAAAACACACTATTGGTTGCAAGTGGGTCTATAAAATCAAATACAAGCCTGATGGATCAATCGAACGCTACAAAGCCCGACTTGTTGCCAAGGGTTTTACCCAACTCGAAGGTCTAGATTACCATGAAACCTTCGCCCCTGTTGCCAAGCTTGTTACCGTCAGATGTCTCTTAGCCATTGCCTCCATTAAACATTGGCCTCTTCACCAATTGGACGTAAATAATGCTTTCTTACATGGCGACTTACACGAAGAGGTCTACATGAAACCACCTCCAGGCCTTTCTATTGGTTCTACCAAACTCGTATGTCGGCTACAAAAGTCCCTTTACGGCTTAAAACAAGCATCCCGCAACTGGTTTTCTAAACTATCTACTGCCTTGATCTCACATGATTTTATCCCTTCTAAGGCAGACTACTCTCTTTTTAGCAAATTCACCAAGGCAGGTTGCATCCATGTCCTTGTTTATGTCGACGATATTATTGTCACTGGGGATGACTCCAATGGCATAATCGCCATCAAACGCTCCCTTCACTCAAGCTTCCATATCAAAGACTTAGGCACCCTCAAATATTTCCTCGGCATTGAGATTGCCCGTTCCTCTCAAGGCATCTTTCTCAACCAACGCAAATACGTCCTTGATTTACTTAATGATTCTGGCCTTCTTGGAGCACGACCAGTGGCTTTTCCAATGGAACAACACCTCAAACTTTCTGCCACTAATGGCACGCCCTTGGAAAATCCGACCAGTGGCTTTTCCAATGGAACAACACCTCAAACTTTCTGCCACTAATGGCACGCCCTTGGAAAATCCATCTACTTATCGTCGCTTAATCGGACGTCTCATTTACTTGACTATCACCCGTCCTGACATAACCTACTCCGTTCACATCTTGAGTCAGTTCATGCATAAACCTCTTCAACCTCACTATAATGCTGCTCTTCGCTTGCTACGCTATCTTAAAGGTACCCCAGGTAAAGGCATTCTCTTGCCATCCACTGGTTCACTTCATCTCACGGGCTATTGCGACTCTGATTGGGCGAGCTGCCCGATGACTCGTCGCTCTACTAGTGGTTATTTTACTATGCTCGGTTCCTGCCCTATCTCCTGGAAAACAAAGAAGCAAGTTACTGTGGCTCGTTCATCTTGTGAAGCCGAATATCGCTCCATGGCCTTGCTTTGTTGTGAATTAGTTTGGTTGAAATCCTTACTACAGGATCTCCATATTTCCCATTCGGAGCCTATCACTCTTCATTGTGACAACAAAGCCGCGCTCCATATTGCCACCAATCCTGTTTTCCATGAACGGACCAAACATATTGAATTAGATTGCCACTTTGTTCGTGACAAGATCACTGATGGGCTCATCAAGCCTTCATACATGCCCACCGACAATCAGTTGGCTGATCTATTTACAAAAGCTCTAGGCAAGGACAGGCTTCTACTTCTACTTGGCAAGTTGGGCATGTATGATATCCATGCTTCAACTTGAAGGGGCGTATTAAGCTGGCACCAACAGATATATCAGATTCTGTCTAACAGATAAAACATAAACCTGTTTTGGATGCAAGCATATCTTCAACTTCAAAAACCTGTCAACCAAATGCCAGTAAATGTTTTGTTGTTTCTGTTGTAGCCAGCCATGGAGTTTGTTATTGGTGATTGGTTAGTTTGTGATTCAATCTGATCCACAATTTGTGGGCACAGGCTTTCTTTAGATATCCCTATGTATATATATATAACCAAGTATTCTAATGAAAATGTGTGTTAGACAGAGTGGACGTAGGCTTTCTTTGGCCGAACCACAATACATCTTTTTGTCCTCTTTTCTATTTCTGTTTCTTTTTTTTTCTTAACAGTATGTGACCCATCCTGCTGAGCAAGAGCCAAGAACCTTTTTCTTGCCCTCTTGCATGCCCTCCGTTGAAAATTGCTTTACTAATTAATATGCCATTTTTTTTTGTTAAAGTAAAGCTTTGCTTCAAAAAGTATTTTCGGATTTTCTTCCAGGAACAAAAGATTGAGCATGCTAGTGAAAATAGTGCCACCACTAGATAGCTAGTTTTATAATTATTTACTGGTACGTAATTAAATATTAGATGGTTTTAGTTGCTAGCGACGCTAAGGGGCTGTTTGGTTCGCTATTATAATGGGTGGAAAACTCAGAAAACCCCTCCACGTCAGATTTTTAGCCCTCCACGTCAGTTTTTTTTGTTTCCGTTTATTTCTTTGTGCCGCTTTGGTTCGCTCGGATGGAAGAGGGAAAACTCTGCTGAAATCGCCGCCAACTCAGATTTTTTTCCCTCTCCGATTTCCTTCCCCAACCGAGTGAAATTGATGAAAACTTTGCCACGTCAGATTTTTTCCTTCTCTGCTTTATTTACAAAAGTTTTCCTTTTTTTTCTATGCGAACCAAACATAAGAAAAATAAATACATTGGTTTCCCACCATTTTTTATGTGCGAACCAAAACAAAACAATCTATTTCTTGGAAAAGTTTAGAAAATTCAAAACTTATGTTTCTTTACATGGAATTGTATTTTCCTATATCAAGGAAACGAACCAAACAACCCCTAAAGAAAAAAATAAGGAAAACTCACATATCGCATAAAGCGACTGTATCATGATGACCAACGTTAGAGTTAGAATGTAATAATTAATTTTAGAGATACTATTATTTAATAATTGGAGGTTATAGAAATGTGGAAATTCAAGAGAATTTATGTAATATGCAATCTGATTATTCTGTTTTTATTATCTTCTTATTAATGAAACAAAATATGACTTTTTATCTTTCCCGTGAAAACGTCAACACCCAACTAATACTTCTGCTACTTCCAAGCAAAAAAGTGTGTTTGGTTCTCTGAAAAACTTACTTCCAATACTTCCCTAAATGCTTATGTGGCGCCTACGTGTCATCCTTACTTCCAAAATATTTTTCTAATCCTCAATACTCAGAAGTAGCTCGGAAGTAGTTGAAATGCATATTAATTATGACATAAATAATTTTTTTATTAATATTTCCTTTATTAGTTACTTCTAACAACTCTTCATTGATAAAATTACTTCCTAATAATATTTTCAAATGTTATCCAAACAAAAAAAGTAAATGAAAAGGAAGAAGTTCTACTTCCATTACTTCTAAAAATATATGAAACAAACAAAAAAAATGCTATTTCCACTACTTCCTACTTCATAGCTTTGAAAGTTACTTCTATAACATACTTCTTACTTCTAATACTTCCATTATCCAAACGGGCCCTAAGATGGAAGACTTTTGCAAATACGTACGATTTCTTTTTTCCATTTTCAAAAAAATATGACTTCTTTTTGTGCGTTGTACGTGCAACCTTGAACCTGCTTGACCACAACGCATGAGGTCCCCTTCAATAATCTTGAAAACAACTACCGATAATAAGGAAAACACTACAGACACACCCTCAACCACACCTTGGGACACACCCCTCTCACAGCTACAGTGCACGGGGCCCACTTTAGATTTTTTTAAAAATCTAAAGTGGGCCCCGTGCACTGTAGCTATAAAAAATCTAAAGTGGACCCCGTGCACTGTAGCTGAGAGAGGGGGTGTGTCCCAAGATGTGGTTGGGGGTGTGCGCGTAGTGTCACTCCGATAATAATTGTCCAATGTGATTCTTTTTTTAGGCTCACTCACCTTAGTTGGTTCCACTGGCTTCTTCGGAAAATATACCGCCATGGAAAAAAAACTCAGAAAAAAAAAGCTTCAAAAAAATATCCTCCTTAATGACATGCTATAAAAAATAAAATCACATAACATGTATTCATCTTACTTTTTACCGAAGAGCAAAGAATTGACGTTAAAAACTCTTCATTAGGATTTAGAGGCTCTCCTTTCTTCCCACCTACTTCAGAAAACAATTCATGGCCTTTAATTTTCATAACCATAAAAGTCATAATTTGACTCATAAACCTCTATCGAACAATTGTATAAAAAAACCACACGCATCAACATCAAAAAAAAAAAAAAAAAAAAAAAAAAAAAAATCGGCTTCGACTAATTCAACTTGCAATATCGTTGTTGCATCTACCATCACTCCCTCAAACCCACTTTCTCATTATTAGAATAAAAACACTTTTGTACAGTTTTAATTTGCTCTACCTAATCACCGCTTGCCACTTAAATTACGAACTATTTCCGCATAAACATTTCTCTTCCTATTTGTGTTGGGGAATATAATGGCGTGTGCATGAGCTCAATGTTTCTTTCTAAATATGGGCATAGTTTGTTATCATAAGAGCAATCATCTTAAATGCAATAAAATTTCCCAAAAAAAAAATCAGAGAACTTGACGATCGAGCACGTACGTGGAAATATAATAGTCCCATCTTAATTATGCATTATCTGCAACCTATCTCTTTGGTGATTTCATGGCAAGCCTCAACTAACTTTATATAATTTCTAAAGAAACTTGCACGATATCAATTGCTAACGTCATCACTATATAAAGCGCGAAGTGTGAGCGGCCAAACAATGAGCTTGATAAGTGGGATATGGATACTCTCTACTACAAAAAATAGTAGAAATACAATTATTTTTAATCTCAATCGTTGATTACTTAGTAGACAGTTATGATACAATCTAAATCTAACACTCATCATATTCCCGTGTATTACGCTCATTCCTAGTATACTCTCCTTCATTAAAAAATTTATTTCATAAGGAAAGTTTCTGGAGTTATGTTAAGTACCTAGTTCATGAACAATTAATTTATGGCAAATTTCTTCTTTAATAACTCAAGCATATGATATATCGGAATCAAGTTCGAACAATTTAATTAAACGAAATAAAGTGAATTAGAATACTCACTGTGATAAGAAGTATTGCCATTATAAATCTTTAATTTAAGAATAAACTCATGATCTCCTATAAAGAACACTCAAAATATGAGGCAACAAATCCAAAAAATCCAAAATGGGCGACGATAAACAATACAATTTCCATCCCATTTGTCAATAAAACGAAATATATTTAGTGCCTTTTTTTATTTTTATTGATATTGAAATAACGCACGTAATTTAGCCTCCTATTTTACAAATAACACAAAGCCGCAACTCAAAAATAACGTGAAAAAAAGTCAAGTACCCGAACAAATAACAACCCACCACGTGTCTTGTAACTGGCACCAGTCAGTAAATTTATAGGACACCTGCCAGTCTCTGCACACACGCGTCGACCTATGATTGGTTGCTAGTAAGCGATCGGTCTCATCTGACGTCAGGATCGACGTCTATTGCTTGCAATTTAAGCGGTTGATTAATTAATATAATCACTGTTTTAACTTAATTAAATAACCCCAAAGCTAAATTTGAGAGCTTATATAAACACACTCCCCTCTACGTTCTCTCCCCAAGAGAGCTCCACAAAAAGATTTTCCACTTCTCGGTGAGCATCTGAGCGTTCTAAAATTTCTTTTCCAGTCCTTTTTCTTCGTAAAAACGCCCTCTCTTCTTCTTCTTCTTCTTCTTCTTCAACCTCCTCCTCCGCTGGGGTCTTTTTCTGCAAATTTCTGTCCTGCTGCTGCAAAAGAATTTTCAAAATTTGGGTTTAGGTTGTTTGAAGGGATAGAAGTTTCTGAACGAAGATCCAGATCCTTTTTTTTTCTTCTGGGTTTTTGGTTTCGTTAGCCAAAGAGGGTTCTTTTTTCTGCAACCCATCAGGCTATTTTATTTTACGTTTATTTTTAGTATTTTTATCTCTTTTTATAGATCAAAGAGGCTACTTTTTTTAGCTATCCTCTTAGATTTACTGCAGAGACCCAGTTTCCTGTTCTTTGGTTTTGTTTGAGAACAAAGTTGGGTTCTTTTTCTCATCTTCTTTGTTTAATTTTTCTCATTTAAGATTCTTCCAGTTTTAATGGCTACTGCTGTAGATTTCAGTGAGGAGCTCATGCAAGCACTCGAACCTTTTATCAAAGGTGCTTCATCTTCCTCAACCTCCTCATATTCTCCTCCTTCTTATTCCTCATCTTCTCCGTCATCAACCATCACCCTTGATTCTCCCTACTCCTATTCTCCCTACTCCTATTCTCCCCTCCCCTCTTTTCAAAATCCCACCTTTGATCACTCCTCGCCATCAAACTCCAGTCTTTTGAGCATGGACCAGCCTGATCTGAGCCAAGTTGGGCCAGTTGGGCTGACCCAACTGAGCCCACTTCAGATCCAGCAGATCCAAGCTCAAATCCAGCTCAACCACCAACACCAGCTAATGGTCTCCAGAACCCTGCAAGCTAGAAATTACCATAACACCCTCGGTGTAAAGCCCCAGCCCATGAAGCTCCAGGCCTCGGTCGCTGCACCTCAGTCAAAACCCACGAAGCTCTACAGAGGGGTGAGGCAAAGGCACTGGGGTAAATGGGTTGCAGAGATCAGACTGCCGAAGAATCGAACCAGGCTTTGGCTTGGAACCTTTGACACTGCTGAAGAAGCTGCCTTGGCCTATGACAAGGCTGCTTACAAATTGAGAGGGGACTACGCGAGGCTCAATTTCCCTAACCTGAAGCATACCCATCTGGCTGGCAACCCTCTGCACTCGTCTGTTGATGCCAAGCTCGAAGCAATTTGCCAGACCCTGGAGAGCCCTGGGAAGAAGAAGGTTAGCACCGGGTCGAAGCCTGAGCCGGTTGTTTCATCGCCGACTGTTGAGACCGAGGAGGAGTCTTCCTCTTCTTCTTCGGTGACGGGGGCGACGAATTCTCCGGTTTCAGAGATCGAGAGCTTGGATTTCAATGAGGTGCCGTGGGATGAGACTGAGGACTTTGTGTTGAGGAAATACCCATCCTATGAGATTGATTGGGATTCTATATTGTCTTCAGCTTAGTAGTGTCTGGTTTGTGCTTGTTGTTGTTAGATTTGGGGGTCTTTAGTGGCTGTTGCAAATGGAGTTTTTGGCATTTGCATAGCCTTGTTCAGGGATTTTTAGTTTAGTTTATTTTTTTTTCTTTCTTTTAGAGTGTAAGAACTCATGGCCTCTGCTGATTATTTTTGCTTGGCGAGGCCGTTGAGGGGTTAAGTGTACTACTATTGTCAGTTCCAGGTGTAACTCTTCTCTGTTGCAGCTTTGTAAGTATGAGTGTATCTTGTGTTTAATTAAGGTATATTTGTAGTTTTTGATGTTGTGTGTGTGTCTCTTATTGTTGGCTTGATTCCATGTTGTATGTGATCCTTGTGTCTCAGTTCGTGTATGTGATGTGAGGAGAGACCTGAGCACAGTTGATGATTGGTTTGGGAAGCAAATTTGACAGGATGTTTTGTTGTAATCTTTATTTGAGTTTCAACAGCATTTTATAACGAGGACGACGATGTTTTAATGGGTGAGGAGGAAGGTTGACTTGAAATTATCTCCCATCTCCTGAATCCTTCTTCCCTCAACTGCTTCACTTGACTATTGAGATGCCCTCATGATTGGGATTTTTTTTTTATCTACAAGAGAGAACTATGAGTTTCATTTGGATTGGAATCCTCTACTAAGTCATAGTGCTTCCTAATATCTCTTAATACATCTTTACCTTTCATTGCGTTGTACCTCATCGTATTTTGTGCTTATGCATAAAATGAAAGATGAAGATGCATTAGAAGATATTAGGAGACATTATGCCTTAGTTGAGGATCTCAATCCGTTTCGTTCAAGAGTCACTAAAAAAAAAGTTGAATACGCTTTAACAGAGAGAAGTGTCGGAATAAATCTCATGTGAAGGCTTCTCCTGATTCATTTGTACGACCTTAGCATATGTGAAGTCGCTGTGAATAAATCTCATGTGCATTCTTGTTTTTCTCCCCCCTCCCAAGATGAGGCCTTCCCCTTCTCTGAAATATAAAGCCTAAACATGATGAGGAAAAGCTTTTGTCAATTGATTTGCTACAATAATATTTTTCTTGTCAGGAAATATAAGTTTCGCTCAGGTTGAAGTTGAAAGGGAAGTATAACCACTAACATCAATAATATCCCTAGAGGACCAAAGGCCACACTGCTGGAATTTGGATTTCTTTCATACTCTCTGGGGTTGTTTGTTTTGCTTATTTTGCCCCTGATTCCTGTCAAAACTGACAGCTTTCTTTCTTATCAAAACGTCCTAAAAAAAACGTTTTGACAAGAAAGCTGTGGTCAGTTTTGGACAGGAAATCAGGGCCAAAAGAAACCAACCAAACAGCCCCTCTGCAATTTCTAGTCACATGGAATTATTTGCCACTTGTGCTCAGGCCCTGCGATTATAATGCAATCAGCTCGCTCCTTATAAAATCAAAAAATAGTCACATCATCGCCTACCGTTTGTCCTGGCTTAAGAAAAAGCTGGCACAATTACTGTTTGGCTATATGTTAAATCAAACCACGTGGCCTGATAATTCAAACGCAAATTGCACGATCATTGAGTTTAAATTTCCCAGTCAGCCAACCAACTTTTTTCATAATTTGGGTCTGAAATCTTTAGGTGTTTTCTGAAAGCAAAAGTTGTTATCTGCTACTGAAATTAGCTAGTTTGGGAGAACTTCAAAGGGTTGATGATACGGCATGGGTCACCATGCCCAATGAGGCAAGGTTGCTTCTATTATTTGGAAGCTCAAATTTCTCAACAAGTTATCAGTCTTTTTCTGTATGCCAACTAGTCTTCTAGATTTTATGGCGAGTCATTCTCACCAAGTATATAGCCTAGAGGTTAACGTCTAAGCCCGAAAAAAGGTCCAAAAAAAAAAAAAAAAATCTTCATGATCAAGATCTTGTTTCCAACAAATGGCTTTTGATTGGATGGTCAAGATAAGAGCTAAATTTCTATCAATTTAATTAAAGATAATTACCAATAATATTAGCTCCATGGCCTAGTAACGAAAGAATCCTATCAACGCGCCCCCCGCGTTGAAGCAGAGTGTTCTGAGCCATACAGATAGCTAACGGAACCTCCACCCGGCCGCTACCCCTGAATGGCTCAGAATATTCTAGTAGAACTCGTTCTCCCTATGAAACTGCTCAGCAACAAGTTGTTCAAGCAATGTGAATGAAAATGAGGAAAAGAGGGAATTTTGGGACTCCCCTCGGCTTATCCTTTGAAAAAAAGAACCAGAGTTTGTCATGTAGGAACAAGCCAGAGCGCATCATGCTCATCCCCACCTATGCCATTTTCTGTAGACCCCATCCCAGTCACCTAATCAAGAATCCCAGCTCAGCCCTCCCGTTTGTTCTTGTTCTTTCCTCTTCATACGGCCATCTTTTGGAATCCTTGCCTTCAAAGAATTCTCTAGCATAAAATAGTAAAAGGAAAATTATGGCCAGTATAGAAAAGCAATGTGAACGTCCTTTCCATCAAATGCTGCCCTGGAGAATCTAATTCACCGCAGAAATTAGGAAGATGACATAATCTCTCATATATGTTTCCAACATGCACAAACTTAAAGAGACAATAATATTATCTTTTGTACCATCTATGCCTTTTCCCATCAAAATATAACAATCATATTGCAAAGGTTTACTAGGGAAAATTTCTTAAAACAGCATGGAAGGCTAAAACGCCCAAAGTGAAGCATATCAAAGAAATACAACTTCTTTTTCTATTTTCCTAGAATAATAAGAGACCAATAAGCAAAGCTAAAGCTATGCTGGCTACATGGCCTTATGAACTTTTGAATGCTTTGTAGGGTGAGAGGAGGAAGCTTTCCCCAAAGAGTGGAGGAAAAGAAAAGCAACAATTAAAGATGGAAACAAGTTGGCGCGTGTTCCTCCTAAAGCTTTGGCAAAATCTCTGCTCAAGAGAAGGCAAGGTTCAATGAGGTTGTAAGTGTGTCACGTCCTCATCAGCATTATCTCACATTCCCTTTTTCATTTTCTCCACTCACGATAGCCACCCCCATTAGGGACTCACGATAGCACCCCTATTAGGGAGGTGCCACAGGCACACCCTCGGACACACCCTCGATCACCCCCCCCTCTAGCTACAGTGCAGAGGGCCCCACTTGAGTTTTTTTTTTAAAAATCTCAAGTGGTCCCCCTGCACTATGGGGTGGGGGTGGGAGGTGTGCCTGTATCATTTCCCCCCAATTATAAGCCTATTTGGTAATATTAAGTCAAACATGCATTTGTACAGAGATATTACTATGCTCATAATGGCCATTAAGTCAATAAAAAAAATATTATATTTAGGTCAATTATGCGAATGATGTCAAATATCTATTGTTAAGTTTGAGGCTTAGTGCATGATAACACCTCAATTAACTATCTATTATTAGGTCAACCATGAGAAGTAGAGGCTCAAGAACTTGGTTAAGGAGCTCTATTATGTTGATAATAAGTGGGTAATTGTGGCGTACAGTAGGTGCAAATGCATTCCCATGTGGACATTTTTAGCCTGACGACCAACATAAGCTCTACATTGAAAACATTGGATAAAAAAGGATTATGATAATAAAACGGACCGAGGTTACGCTTGCTAAAGTGAAATTGGCCTTGAATAGAGGTGGTGTTGCCCGTCTTATCCATTAACCCCAAAGACTTAATCTATTTCTAATATTTCCAACAAATTGAAGCAGGCACTAAGACATGATCAGGATGGGATCATTAAGGCGTATTATTGGTGCTTTAAAGCACCATATTGTCAGTCCTTTAGGCTTTGGTAAAGTAACTAATCAAAATCAGGGAAGTGCCCTGATATGAGTTTATTTCTATTGAGAACTCAATAAGTTACTTTGCTTGATTTAGAACAGATAAGTACAAACAAAACCATGATACAAAATTATTTCTGCAGGCATAAAAAACTGTGTTCTCTAACTCTTGCCAGTATATCCCTGAACCACAAGTTTAATCCTATACCATGAACACAAGACTATTACTCTACAGATCAAAGCAGGATGATTTTTACATGAACACCCCTCCCTTTCCATTCCATGACTTTTTAAGTTTTTGGTTTGAAGCAAAACCCAGTTGTAAGAAGATGCCCCTTCAATCCTCTATTATGTTCCAAGCCTATGGACCGCATTGGATGGATCACATTGGAAATCTCAAAATCAGCTCAATTTTCCGATCTCCATCTTTTTCTTGATTGCTCTCTGACCATGGTATATGAAGGAATCTAATATTCCAGAAACTGTAAAAATACCTGTAGGCACACATAGCACATTACTATTATGAAACCAAGCAGATATGAAAGAGAGAAGAAGTTTGCAATTGAAGCCGATATTGATCCAAATGTCTTCGCGAGAAGTAAAGATGACGATCTAAAAAAGTCTATTTATGATTTATAAACAACTTTAATTTTTTCCCCAAGTCTGTCTTGGGAAAAGCTTTGCAAGATTTCGAAACTACTTCCGAAATTGAATGTGAAATTGATTCGCTGCAAAAATTATTGACGACAAGGCTGCTCAACATTGAGGATAAACTGGGTACACTAAACCTTTCTTCCAATCAAGTCCATAATTGCCAAGGGCCACACTTTCCTCAAATGGGGATATTCCTTAGCATACTCCAGTATATCAGGCTAATTGAGGATACATATTGTATGTTTATATGCAGCAAAAGAAAAGGGCATTTTAAGTGAAATAAAAGTGAAACATTAGGATACTAAATTGCATTATAACCTTAGCAAGAGCTACAACATGAAGAAAATATTTCTCGCAAAAAAAAAAGAAAATCCCTACTACAGAGAATCAGGAACATCATGAATTTCCTTATAGGTGCAAATTCATATTATTCTCATTATATAATGTTATTTCCTTTTTAAAGCGCACACATCAAATTCATGGCGTTTAAATTATGTCTAATATATTCAAGAAAAATCCAAGTTGACAGATTATTTGCAGACTGCAGCCCAACTTAGACAGTTTGATAACTGCAGTTTACCAAACTATGCATAGTAACCAAACAAAACCACAGTTTAATATTTCAAAGTCACGAGACTTAACTGCAGCAAAATGCAGAAACTGCAAAAAAAACGCAAACAGGCTGCAGTGGCTATTGTGTCTGCGTATTGGTCTACCACTCAATACAAGAATAACTTATATGAGATTGACCATTTAAATATCACAAGATTCAGAACATAACCCCCACCATAGGTTTCCTAATCCCCTCAAAGTGCCCATAGATCTAGACTGTAAAATCCCATGGGACAGAAATATATGATTTTTGAAAATAGAAAAGGTTGGAGCAGTTATGAGTAAAGCTCAAGAAACTTTTTAATAACAGAAGCGTGAATACCTCCTACTATGGCGCAGACATTAGTCAGAAAGTGCAAAAACGATACATGTTCCTCAGTAAAGGTAACCTGCATTGCAAATTTATATATAATGTTAGTAAGAGTGTACATTGTTTGATGCACCTAAAAAGATTTCACTACCAACTATAAACATGACGGATTTCACTAAATTAATGCATTTGTTTTCGTCTGTATAAAAAATGACGTAAAAAAAGATAGATAGTAGTAACTATCTTTTAGTTGAGTCATCAATAGAAAACAAATGACCACTGACTTGTCATTTGATATTGTTATCTTCCAGTTGAGTCATCAATAAAAGAAATTCTCTCGTCCCCAAATTCTCCACTTCTGTTTTTGTGAATGAAAATATTTATTGAATTTGTCTGTGACTATTGTTTGAACTAATTTAAGATTAAAATTGTGAGTTTCCTCGTTTACTTTGAATTCCCTCCCTCCTCTATCACCTTTTTCTGCTTGTTTCCGATTTTCTCATCTCTTCCCAAAATTGCAACCAAGTTTCTGTTTAAGCTTGTATTTCAGCAGTCTCAGAAGACAATGGACTGGAAATATGGGACCCTAGTGCATCATGCCTGTTAGCTGCCAACTTCAATTAAGTAACAGTAGCCTTGAATTTGGAGTGTCATTAAGCAACGTGAACTGCCTGATATGTATTGTTTCCAGCTGATTATTTAAATCGTAATCAAAAGAACTAGCCAAAAGATTTTACCTGGATAAGTTATTAATTGAAAATGTAACATTTCACGGTTTTATATGTCCGAGGAAAATAATAATAATAAAAGAACCATCTATGTGATACCAAAAACTAACTTGAAAGTAAATATATGGGGTGGCTCAGTACACAAAATAGTCACATCCTAGGTTACAAAATCACAAACATAGTAAAATCGCAAGCATTGTTATAATGTTCTTATATGCTTACCTTAATTGGAGAAAGGTCATAAAAGAAAAACACTCCAGGAATAGATTGCACTCGACCGATCTCATCAGTCCTGAAATGCTCCGTCACAGAAAACTGCATAAAGCAAATTCCAATGCATCTAATTAGGCAAATAAAAAAGGGAAAAGACACTTCAATAAGTATAAATAATATACCTGATTGGATTGGATAGTATTCCCTTTTATGTCAGTGTAAACAGTAGGTACAACCTGTAAGGAAATGAGGCAAGTTCAGAATAGCTCTTTACTTAAAAATTATCCTTAAAGCTAAAACATGTAGTATTAAGACGATAAGAGGAGACAACTCAAGCAACTGAGCACTAAGCAACAAATGACAAGCTAGTCAACTGACAAAGAAGTATACAGGAGAGTACAGGGTCACTAACCTTCAGAAAGTACTCATACATTCCATATGGTGTTTGTTGTACCCATTGTACTCTGAATATGTCATCAAATAGATCAATCATTACTAACATGACCTGAATCAAGCAAACAACTCATGATAACAGATGTAGCTTTCCTTAGAATGAGACAGTGACGTAAAAAAGTATTACCCATCAAGGGGATTGATCACTCCAGGGAAGTGTTCTCCGAAGGATAACTCGTTGATTTTATGGCTTATCTAAAACCACCAAAGACGAAATTGTGAATCATTTGTCGAACATATGGATAAACAAAACAAACTATTCTGGTTTCTTTATATCCAATGTAAACCTAGTGTTTCTCATCATAATGTTTCTTACATTAAAACTGTCCTTCTGAAATGCCAACAAATCGTGCACGTGCATATTTGATTGCTGGAAGCTTTTTCCTGGTGCAAAATGAAAGTTTCCAGCCACTTTATTGACATCCAGGAAACCATAGATATTGCATCCTTCGCCTTCCTCATCTTTAATCCTTTGAAGGAAACCCTCCCTCTTGCACTGAATTTTGCAAAGAGTTAAGAGTAACAAATATTTAAGCGCACAACATCTCATCTCAAATTTAACTGCTAAATTTAACGTTATATATTTCGACTAAAACTAGTGCATTTATCTCATAGTCACAACAGGTAAAAAATTGTTTTATCATTTTCCACGTGATACATGTCTTGAGTTCTCCAACAAAAAAAAAAAAAAATCTAATTCCTTGAGTATGTTGAGACTTGTGTCTAAGCTGGTAAGGATCAATCTGATTGGTTCATTAATAGCGTTCAAATAGGAGGCATCCAACCTAAACTTTTATATTAGGTGGAGATTGTTATGTATCTTGAACTTTACGACTTGGGTCCATCTGGTGGGTCATTACAATTAGCAGAAAATTTTTGCAGAGGTCCGTAGAGGGCTTCAGCCTTGGATGACCAATCATAAATAGAACATTGGGACCATATGTATTTTGTATCCTACATGTATTTGGATTCACTGTAAGGCTACTTGTCCTAACTCCTAGGAGAAGGCCCTGCTTTTATGGATGTGAGATTTAGAATGTATTTGGGAACGGTTGGGAGTTTTTCCACCTTTCTACTTGCAACTTGATGACATGTAATATTTGTATGTCACTTCTTTCATCTTCAGCATGTTTCTGTGGACTTCTCACAAAAACTACAAAGAAGTAATCACTCGCTGGATTACTTAAGATCCTCACTATAACAAAATAACATTTAGATGGATTTTTAAATCCTAATTAAATTTAGATTTACTTCCAATGGCTTATGTTTCAATCAAATTTTTTTATATTTATTTACTAAAAACATTTTCTATAGCATATGAAATTTTAGTTGAGGTGATCTTGTAGCTATTATCCAAATGTCACTTACCCTTATATCTTAAAGAAAAAAGAGAGAATCAAGCATCAAAATTAGCCAATGACAGTATAGAAATTGATTTTGTCAGATTATGAATCTTCAATATAGTAAAATCTATACGGATACCAATCATAGCTGGATTAGGTTGATTTCAAGGAATTTCAAATATACTAAATTATTCAAAGAATGTCATAATACCTTATACACCTTATTAGGAAAAGGGAAGGAACCAGATTCTTATTTATATTTGTTTTTAATAGCATTTATATATATGTCATCATATCCAAGATATTTGTATAAGAGCTTAAGTGCATCACTTGTATCATAGATGCTTGTTTTGTATATCAATGAAGATGATATTATAATGTTAGTGCTTAGGGTGACATACATTATTTCTGGTGTAAAAGACTATTAGATACATCCTTTATCTGTACAATTTTAGTTACTTAATGTATTAAGGTACTAAAGTGCTACCCTACGCTTCTGTATTGCAGAAGAGAAATTAGAATACACATCAAGCTTACAATTGGTACGAGTAGGCAACTAAGCTGGACATATAGGAGTAACCAAATACAGTTAGCTCTCTTTAAAAATGACATGATGCAGTCATAACATGCTGGAAATTCTAGAAGTTAAAAGAAAATGCCAAACATCAAATAAGAACTATGCATGGATCAAACTGGAAAGGCTAGGATCAGGATTGAAATACTGGACGATGTTTCAAGAAACTCAGGTAACCTTAACAGTTTTTAACAAGCTTGTATAAATATATTTTGTTATGCTAGAATACTGATGTATCGTAATGCAATTAGCATTTTGAACCATTAAAGTAGAAGTCCTTGAGCGGAGAAACCTGATCAATTAAATCTGGGTTTGACATCCCCCAACCTTTCTTTCTGTATGCTTCACGAACTTCTTCGCAGGAGTTGCAACAATCTTCATCAGACTACAATGCAGCGAAAGCATAAAAAAATTAGTTGATTTATACTTGATGACACGTAAAATGTGTAGAATACATTAAAAAGGTTGATAATGTAAAAGGGATTTTTGGCTATATACCCTCCAAATTTATCCTATTTGCAAATAGAGTATTCTATAAGTGCTCTTACAGGGTGGTAGCTGTTTTGTATTCATCATGACAACATTTAGTATAAAATCAGTAATTGCTTAGAAGATAAAATTCAACTCCATAGCATGGGAGTGAATGAAGCAGACTAAAAAAGAAAAAGTTGGTGTGTTATGTGACACGTGGTGAATTAGAGGGTGTGGAACCATTAGAAGGTCTTAAAGTCACAACCTTACGTATTCCAAGTTGTTGCAAACCCAACGGAGAAGATCCTGGTCAGGTGGACAAGGGAAGCCATCTCAGAGAAAACAATGAAGAAAATAGAGGAGCAAGAGGAAAGTCAGCTGCAGCCGCAGATCTTCTAAAAAGCGCATGCGACACAGATGTTTATAGACATGTTTATTGGGAACTCACAAATCTAAGTTTGGCCTGTCCTTTTTTTTTTCCTTTTCTCTTTCTATCTCATCATCTTGCCTTTATCTCGTCATTGAAAGACTTGTTAAATAGCTAAGCCATTTGCATAATAAACAGAGGCAGATCCATAGTAAATGTGCATTCCATAGTCCAAACCGACCATCCCCAGAAGTGGAGCTGCAGAATAACTATAGCTGTGTGCATGCTTACTAGGTGCAAGTTGTTAAAGGTAATAGCTGTTTAGATAGCTACAGCTGGAATGTGAGAACTAAGTTCTACAGTTTGTTATGCACTGGATAGCAGCAGAACTCCCATCCCCCTCTATGACAAATATTTATGAAGGATGTAAATCATAATATCATGTCCCTTCATCGTGAGATGGTCAGCTTACCACATTTTTCGTTATTTTGCCCATTCATATAGGGGCAGAAAAGTTCTTTTATTGGATAACCACTAATTCTATAACCACCCAGTACATACTGGAGGCCAAGTCCTTTGTGTATGCAGGCATATTCATATACCACATTTTTTGTTATTTTGCCCATGCATATAGGGGCAGAAGAGTTCTTTTATTGGATAACTACTAGTTCTATAACTACCCAGTATATGCTGGAGGCCAAGTCCTTCCTTGGGGTTATGAAAGACATGGCAGCAAATAAATCTAGAACCACCATTTTTTGCATTGCCTGTCCTGTGCCTACTCAGGCACTACAGAGTTTCCCCTCAAACCCACAGCTGCTGATAATAAGGCCTAATGCGGCATCAAATGCGGGGCAAGCACAAACATGGAGTTAGCCTGCTTACTGTAAAAGTGGCTTCTGATGCTCAAGTTAGATGAAAAGAATGTCCTTAGCTTAGCAAGAAACAGCGATTGATCTGCTGTCTATGTAGTTCCAGAAAAGAGGGAATGGAAAATAGCCTTATGAGGTTTTAAGAAAGAAATTTGGATTACTCTAGTCACTAAAACCTGACATTCCAAAAAAAAAACCTTACCAGGTGATCACTCCCATTCCAACTCTAGTATGAATATATTATGGTAACAACTAATTAAGCTTATATCATGCTAAAGCTACATCGCCAGAAGAAAATTTCATCAGATGGCCATAAAAATATGCAGATCTTTCAATTCTAAGGTAAAAATCATCCATCGAAAGAACATAAGAAATTTAAACTTATACTATTCTAAATCTTCACAGCTAGAGGAAAAGATAATTTTGTTGGAGCTAAGAAGCCATGATGAGTCAACACACAATCCACAGTGAACATCAAATTCATGAGATTGCAGGAGGTTAGAATTAACCTACTCTCCTGTTTACGGGAGCTTAAATTTATAATTTTAACAAGAAAGCATATGCACAGCAAAAGAATGAAATACCATTTCTGCACCATAACAAGAACCACAATATGTTTCATTGTGTTCCAGCCTTCCTCCATGTCTTTGTAAAGGTTTTTCAATCTGTTCAGAGAATGACAACATCGTGTAAGATATTATATAATGCAAGGTGAAGGCCAGCAAAGAGTTAGCAAGTAAAAGCACTATTATCTAGAAGAAGATAAGTGTATTCAAGGACCATACTGTTGAAGGCAGTTTCACAGAAGTAAATTTACCAGATTAATGTGCTAAGACAAGTGAAGCATACCAAGGTTCACCACATAAATTCACAAATAAATATGATCTATTCTCTCCAGTCTCCACTAACAGCATGATAGATTGGGCAACTAAGCAAGACCCAAATACAAAGAAGTTAACACCTCAAACGAGGGCTGTATTAATGTTACCTGAATTCTTATTGATCAAATAGTTTTTTTTTTAAGTTCTCTTTCTTCTTCCTCTTGTACTCTGATATTTACAGAAACTGGAGAAATCATTAAAAGATAGCAACTCAAATCTTCTATTAATCAGGACAAAACTCAGGTGGTGATCTTGACCTTTAAACATTAGACTTGATAGGACACATTTCTAAACATTTAACCGCTGAAATTTAAAAAAGATAGCAACTTACTGTTGACATAGAACAGGACTTTCTGCTCTGGTATTGATTTGTTTCCCCCTCAACTAATAAATATAGAATTGTCCAAATTTTCATAAAATAATCTGATTTCAACTGACCCGACTACAGCAGTTTAAATAAACAGGTTACCAGGTTGGGTTTGGGTAACCACATAATAGGAGTGATCAGGTTCCAATAGGACTCTGGATACATAACAGGTCATTACACCGCAAGTATCTTGCAATTCTAAAGCAAAACAATAAACCAATTCACTGCTACATTGGGACACAATTCGGATCAATAAATCCATGATTTACTCGTTTCTTGTGCCTCCTAAATTTAACCTGACCAAATTTCAGAAAAGGACGCAACTAGCAGTACTCATTGATCTCATTTACGGTGCATGCAACTTCTGCTGTTAAAAACTCCAATCTGTACAAAAATGATAGCCTAATGAGTAATGAGCACCACCATGCAATGTCATTTTACATTCCAGTAACATGTCATAGGCTCATAGCCACACTGTTATCCATAGGTAAACCAGCTAATCAGCTATACATTAAAGCAAACCATAAACCAACTCATTGCTACTTTGGGAAACAATTCGGATCAATAAATCCATGATTTTACTCGTTTCTTGTGCCATGTAAATTTAACCTGACCAAATTTCAGAAAAGGACCCTCCAGAAGTACATCAATAATCTTATTTACTGTGCATGCAACTTCTTCTGCTCAAAACTCCAATCCGTACAGAAATGATAGCCTAATGAGTAATGAGCACCAACGTGCAATGTTATTTTTATGTTCCAGTAAACATGTCACAGCTACTCTATTATCCATAGGTAAAACCCAGCTATATATAATATATCCTGCTAATTCTATTGAAAGCACTATTTCAACTCTTCAAATATAAAGAAAAGATAAAAGAATGCCACCAAGATGTAAACCTTTGGCTCATATCATCACCACTTGAATATTGTCATGCTGCTAAGTGGCGTGCTTCCTCACTTTCCTCTGTAGCAGTTATATGCCACAAGAAAGGATAATGTGGCAAAGTCAAAGAACATGGCACACTGCTTGGCCTAAGGCATGGTTAACAAGATAACAGTGACCATAAAATCATAAAATTTTACAAGAAAAATGTTTCTATTCTTAAAAAATGCAACAATAGACATGCCAGTACTTCCAAGCCCTGGTTTCCACATACCAAAGGGAGAACAAAAATAAATAGTATATGCTATAGCAATCTGAAAGGTATAAAACAATGGATAGAGAAGATAGGAACCAATTAAGCATATAAGTTCAGGCAGACTCTACGAAGGTAGACAAGTGTAACGAAACACTGACCTTATGTGCACCAATTCCATCTTGTCTGGTACCAATAACATTTCCTTTGGCATCTATTCGTCTCTTAATAACATCATGCTTCTACAATAACAAAAGAAAAGAAGTCATTCTTTAAGAAAAGTTTGCATGTAAAATAACCCAAAAGATAGCAATATCCTTGAACTTTTTGTTTAGATAGGATACTAATTTTATCGATAATTTGATGAAACTTAGTCAAGTAAAAGTTATACAACAATTCAGCCTAACAACAGTCTAACTAGTAACATGATGAAAGTCAAACTAGTAACTTAGAAAACAAGATTCAGTCTCATAATAATACATACCACATCAAGATGCTCTTCTCCACTTATATCCATGGCATCGAGGTTGAGCATAGAACATGCAAGGGCAGGGAATGTGACATCAAACTGAAATTGGTATAAGAGATGCATAAGAACCAAACAGAAGAACTAATGATGGGAATTTCACAATCAAACCAGCAATAAGAAAAGCATGCCTAAGAGCATGAACACTCATTTTTAAAACACTATATAACCAAATAGAAGCAATGCAGAAAAGTGCATAGATACTGCAAGTAAGGAACCCCATCTGATAAATATCAACTATATAAAAGTTAGAAGTTCATGAAGCCAAGTTGCGAAATAAACTCAGCAGTCAAAATTAGTTTCCTAAAAAACATATGTTCGATGGTTTTTTCAAACTACAAAGTTCTATTACTATAACCCACTGATATAGAAAATTTGCAGTCCTAGTAAGGTGATTCTGCGAAGAAGAGTTGAACTTAAAAAATGGGCAAGTTCCAGGGATGAAAGTGGCATTACATTGATACGTAGTCTTTCTCCTCTTGAAGTATCTACCACAAGCTTTGTTTCCGTAGCAGCATGAAGATACAATCCTGCAATAAGAAATATTGATAATCATAATACACCAAACAAACTTGAGCAAGACTTGTTCCTTACATTTAGAAACAAGGGACCGAGACCTCTGGAATGAGAAAGGAAATTTTTATAAGAGGTCAATTTTCATTAGAAAAGCTTATGTCTAGTGAAAATAGTAACTGTCATGTAAAAAACCTTATGTCTAATGAAAATAGTAACTGTGATGTAAGACAGCCGTTTGAGGGGCTGATGAAGTACTGAAAGTACATTTCTAAACAGAGTTTGTTGATAGTCCATAAACACTTAATGAATTTTAATTGGAAATAATCAAATAATGCTAATACAAGTGCAATATTTAGATGAATAAATACGACCAGCCCCAAAAACGAATTTGTGGGAGATCGGCACATCAGAAGTTGCACAAAACACAAAGCAATATAATGACAGAGAAAATATAACAAAGTGAGGAATAAGGGAAGAGAGAAATACAGTCTTCTAGGTGGTTCACCCTGAGAGCCATCCACTAGCAAACTGACCGGAAATTCATGAAGGAAACACTTGATAACTCATCAAAACTTCGTTCAAAGGCCTTCTCAGATCTAAACACCCTAGTATTCAACTGAAACTCAAGAGGGGGAGTTTCACTTCTAAGAGGAGACTCAAGAGGTCTTTACTGCTCATTGTAGAATTGTTTCTAGTCAGTAATCTGCTCCATTGCAATGTAGATGGTCTCAATTATATGGGCTGGGAGATCAAAATGCTGAGACCAACATTAAAAAAACGTGCTATTTACGAGGCCAGTGATCAGGGAAGATGTTTCCGTGTGCCTACCCACATCTTTCCAGATTGTGGCAAAAGAAAAATCTATGACCACAATCAAAATGTGAAAGAAGAATATTGAAGGTTGAAATTTGCAGAGGCTTGTGCCGGCCATCCTGATTTCTAATTTAGCATATATGTGTTTCAATGTTCATGGGGCTATTACGCTAACATTTAGCGTAACATGAATAATTAAAAGGGGAAATTGCTTCTAGCCCCCAATTTTATTACAAGTGTTCCACCCCCTCCCAAGACTTTTTCAACGCTCCCAAAACCCCTAAAAGTAAAGCGATAATTCTCTAAGCCCCAAAAACACATAACCCAAGTGATTAAAATATGTGAAGATCATAATACCCTTTATCTTCCTCAAACTCCCTTTCCTCAGCGACCCCCGTTCGAGTACAGTATCAACGCAGTGCAGCTTCTCAATGGATTCCTCCTCGTTGTTCGGGTTCGAGTCGGACGACGACGATAAGGTGACAGAGGAGGGGCCGAGTGGAGGGAGGAAGCGGAAGAGAGGGGACGATAGCGGAAGCAGCGGGGGCAGGACGGGGAAGATGATGTCATTCTTTGAGGGGCTGATGAGGCAAGTGATGGAGAGGCAAGAGGTGATGCAGCAAAGATTTCTGGAGGCGATCGAGAAGAGAATAGGATCAGATGATTCGAGAGGAGGCGTGGCGGTGGCAGTAGATGTCTAGGGTTGCCCGAGAGCACGAGCTCACCGCCCAGGAGAGCGCCAAGGCTGCTTCTCGACATGCCAC